GCATGAATTGGAACTCAAACGACCGAGAAAAAGTCCGAAACAAAGTTAAAACATAGTAAAAACAACATCTAAAACCTTCTTTTTACGCATGTAAATAAGCGTAATCACTTTGCGTGGACTACCGAGAGTTGAACTAGGTAACGACGAAGAATAGATACCCCCTCCCTCGCATCAATGACCTCTTTGATCAACTAAAGGGAGCAAGAGTGTTCTCAAAAATAGACTTACGATCGGGATACCACCAGTTGAGGATAAAGGACGCCGACATACCACGGACAGCTTTTTGGACCAGGTATGGACACTTCGAATTTACGGTGATGTCTTTTGGACTCACTAATGCCCCCGCGACATTCATGGACCTCAYGAACCGGGTTTTTAAGGAGTTTTTGGACCTGTTCGTGATTGTGTTCATCGATCACATCCTGATCTACTCCAAGACAGCAGAGCAGCACGAAGAGCATCTGCGACAGGTCCTTATTTCCTTGAGGGGAAACAGTCTGTACGCGAAGTTCTCAAAGTGCGAGTTTTGGTTGGATACGGTGGCCTTCCTTGGCCACATAGTCACTAGGGAGGGCATTGCCATGGACCCAGCCAAGGTAGAAGCGGTTAGTGGTTGGCCAAGGCCTCGCACAGTGACTAAAATTCGCAGTTTTCTGGGATTGGCTGGCTATTATAGAAGGTTCGTCTAAGATTTTTCTCGATTAGCGGCGCCCTTGACGCAATTGACCCGTAAAAATGCCGTTTTCGCATGGAGCGACGAGTGTAAGGAGAGTTTCCAGGGGCTAAAGGAGCGACTGGTCACGGCCCCAGTGCTAACAGTACCCGATGGGACTGGAGGTTTAGTGGTGTATAGTGACGCTTCCAGGAGAGGGTTGGGTTGCGTTCTAATGCAGCATGGGAAAGTCATTGTCTATGCCTCGCGACAATTAAAGGTACACGAGCTTAACTATCCCACCCATGATTTGGAGCGGGCAGTAGTGGTGTTTGCCTTGAAAATATGGAGACACTACCTGTATAGAGAGAGTCCAAATCTTCACTGATCATCAAAGTTTGAAATATTTCTTCATTCAGAAAGAACTTAACCAAAGACAAAGGCGATGGCTAGAACTGGTAAAGGACTATGACTGTGAGATCAATTACCATCCCGGGAAGGCGAGCGTGGTGGCCGATGCACTTAGTAGAAGAGAGACGAGTGTAGCACCCCCGATCGTGCATCATAGGCCGGTATTGGATGAGTTGGACCGTGCGGAGGTGGAGTTAGCAGTGGAGGACGTGGCGGTGGTGTTAGCTCGACTCTCAGTTGAACCCACTCTAAGACAGCGAATCATCGCTGCACAAAAGGGGGATCCCAGCTTGATCAGAGAGTTCGGTATGGTGGGTCAATGAGGTTACTCCCTTTCAGAAGATGCGGCCTTGCTCTATCAGGGTAAGTTGTGTGTACCAAGAGATTTCTCCTTAAGGAAGGACTTACTAATCGAGGCTCACAACACTCCATTCTCAGTGCATCCTTGCCACCGTCGTTGGAGGCAGTGCATAATGTGTTCCATGTGTCTATGCTGAGGAAGTATGTCCATGACCCTTCGCATGTTTTGGATTTCGAACCACTGCAGTTAGATGAAACCTTGGGCTATAGAGACGTACCCATTGAGATCTTAGCAAAAGAGACCAAGGTGTTGAGGAACTGGTCGATTGACTTGGTAAAGGTTTGGTGGAGGAACCACCAAGTGGAGGAGGGTACCTGGGAAAGGGAGGACGAGATCAAAGCTCGCTACCCTGAATTGTTCGATCAACGAACTTTCGAGGACGAAAGTTTTTTAAGGGGGGAAGTCTGTAATGCCCCGCATTACTCAGGTACGGCCCTACGTTACTCAAGTTAGGTTACCCTCGAGTCTCAGGGATTTTTCCTCAGAGATAATTTTAAATCTATCTAATTGCTCTGTGTCAGATCTTTTGAACTACTGTAGTAATTGTTGTGAGTCATTGGTTTTATGTATGTATTTAATGGTTCTTGACTGTGAGTGTGTTGTCGTGGTACTTGCCTGGGTCGTTCGGCCGATTGCTTAATTCTATTAGGATAACTAATTAAGTATAAGGAGGTGAGGTCTGCATTCGTAATCTTTTGGAGTCCATCGGTCTTGTTTTCTTTCATTCAATTTTTAGTTAAATGAACTTTATTAGAAGCCCAAAACTTATCCAAAGAAGGGGCCTTGTGTGGTTTTGTCAAATGCCCAAAACCCTAGCTATTTGGAAATTAAAACAAAGAGTTATAAAGAAAAGAAAAAGAAAAAACCCTAGCTTTTTTCCCCCAC